AAAAAAAAAAAAAAAAACATATGTTCTGCTCCATAAGTCAAGAGCTCAAACATTACCTACACATTTTTTATTGATACAATAATACACCAATCCTAAAGTAGTTGAGGTTGACTATATGAATCCTTTACAACCACTCCGTTCTATTTACTATTTAGATCTATTTCATTCCAATATTCAATTATTTGTCTTCTCAGAAAACTGAGAGTTGTCTAAAACTAAAAGTTTTCTGAATCGCAAACTTATCTTTAAACTGGCATACAAATCTCAAACAAAATTAAAAACTTCTAACAAACACCAAAACTAATGTAAGTGACCAACAATGACTAAGCCTTAATTCAACTAGTGGATATTTTTTTCATGAGCATCTTTTGCTTCAATTGTATTTTGTTCTTAGCTACTTCTCATGGATCCCATGAGATTATAGGTTATTTGAGACAATTTCTGTGCATGTGATCTTAGGTCCATCTCGTCCTTTCTAATACATTCAATCATCACATTTAGCGATCTACGACATTCAAATATCTGGAAGCTGCTCTGGTCCAAAAATAAAGTTCTGACAAATTAAAATATTATATAACCACAAACTTTTAAAAGCTGGTAGCTTTATGAGCGCAGCCAGACCAAGATTCAAGATTAGTACCAAACTAAGCCTAACTAAAATTTGCTATTGTCTTTGTTGTTAGTTAGTTGTTATGTTAACAATATTTTCCGTGTATTAATTCTCACAGTCTTCGCCAAGTCCGACCGGAATCTTCTGTTTTTCTTATTTCTTCAAGGACACTAAGGAACTGCGGAGTATCTAACTTTACCAATAGCGATCACAGTAACTCAAAACATATAAATATTGACGTTTACTTCAAAAGTCATAACTCTAGTGATAAACCACCTTGCAAGAAAATTATGTACTTGACAGTGGACAGGGGACAAAATACCTCAAAACCTGCCATATCATATTGCCTCCTTTTTTCTGGATCAGATAGAACACTATATGAGTATGCCACCTCCTTGAATAATTCTGAAGCTTCAGGATTGTTAGCATTCTTGTCCGGATGATACCTGCCATTAATATAGGTTGTGTATGGCTAATGTATAAGAGACTTTTTATGTTTCTAAAATAGTTAATGCATGAGAGACTATTAGATCAAGAAATTTCCGTCTTTATTAAAATGTTTTATCATTTTTTTTAATAATTGAACAAAAGCTTAGCATTAGCACAGAGGTGATACATCAATAAACTTCCCAATACCTACACCACTAAAGCCATTTTTTTCCTCTATACCCAACCTAGCATCACATCACAATTAATTTTTCCACGTAAGAAATTCTAGGTTCCAATAAAATAACTTCAATAAACTAATATACAAGTAAGTATCAATCGTCTATCTATTACCCAATTACCAAACACGTCAACCGTCAATCTACTAACTTCAATTCTTGGAATACTAAATTTAACAAAATTTCATGCTATAACTACATTTTAGTCTCAACATGCTCAATATATTTTAGTTAAGGTACACCACATTTAAGTACACATATGCAAAATTCCAACAACAATAACTCAATTAATGAATCAACTACACCCCAACACCACATTTAAGTGCATACATGCAAAACTGTGATAATGATAGTACAACTTCAGTTAATCAACTAAGCCTCCATCAAAAATAATCAGGGTTACATATATGAATCCTCTAGATACTTTTTTCCTTCTATTCAAATCCATTTCATTCAAGTACTAAATAACTTGTCCAGCTGCTCTATTCAAACCCATTTCATTCCAACACCAAATACTTTATACTTTGCCCGACCGATCCAATTGGACCCATTTCATGTCAATACGAAATAATTAGACGAACAACAATAAACGTACAAAACGAAATTCTTTACAATAGGGCGATACGTTTGACTTACTTGAGAGCAAGTTTTCTGTAAGCACTTTTAATCTCCTGATCAGATGAATCCCTTGTCACACACAATACCTCATATGGGTCTCGCCTTATCGCCGGAGCCGATGACCCCTCCATTTTTGAACCGGACATTACTCCCTTCTAATCTCTATTTCTTCCTCTTAAGAAAAACCCAAATCACTATCTGATATCAATTGTGTATCATTCAAATAGCTTTCTTGTCTGCAAATACACAGGCAGAGAAAACTTATACACACAAAACCATACAAATTCTTTCTTTTTTTTGGGAAGTCACAGAGCCATCAAAATTTGAGAGGCAATTGAGGGGAATTATGAAGTTTTTTCGCGGAATTCAAGGAATTGGATCGTCTTTTCATTTCCTTGGGATTTATGCTAAGCGCTCAATAAAAATTGAAAAAGATTAATGGGAATAGCTATAAGAGATCTAACCGAACGATTTTAAATTGATAAATAATATTGGAAAGAAAGAAAATTAGGGCTTTTGGGAAATTTACAGGATGTAAAAGATGTGTGTGTGTGAGAGAAGACGGAGTTCTTATTTGAATTCGAAAAAGGATTTCTTTGAAAAGGAAATTGAATAGCAATACTCCGCAGACAACTATTTTTAAAAGTAAAATATAAAATTGAAAATTTTAATGTAAAAATTAAATAATACAAAATTAATAATACAGTATATATACTAGTAATATTTCTTGCACAATCTATACTTTAAATATGTTTTTTGTTTATTTAAAAAAATTATTTAATACATGAGGATTATTTTGGTTATTATAGTTATTTTAATCCATATTTTACTAATTTATGTATTCTTATTCCATTTCTTATCATGCATAAAAATAACACATAGATTTTTGTATATGCGAGCAACAAAATGGATAATGCCTAGTTTATATAAATTAATCTAACCAAACGCTGCATTACTTGTGTAGACTTTTATACGTGGATTCCTACATTTTAAGCTTGAAATCAAACTAGCACTTTATTGCCTATTGGAGATCTCGGTCTAGGCTACTCAAATCAATTTTTGACATTGGTATGGTAGGTCTAGCCAAATTAGTTTTTGATAAACATTCAAAGTATAAACTAAAATCTATCAAGTCAAATCAGATAAATATTACTATAACTTGTTCATTCTCAATATATTCATCTCTTATATCTTTTAGAGGAGTAGGCGACCCTCTAAGCTTGCAAATTTTTCTTTTTCATTTTGACATCGAAACGGAAGAAGTACCTATTAAACACTTAAATAGAAATAAGTAGTAATTACAAGAAAATACACATGACTTCACACCATAACAAAAAATGGCTCATGTTTTTAAGTTTTACCCGACCTAACCCATATTGTACATATTTTGAAAACACTAGCTCTTGCAAATTCAAAATCTATGTTCTTACAACCATTGCTTCTAAAAATTATCGAGTTAAATTTGTGTTCTCACAACCATTGTTTTCACTCTCTCTTCTTCTCACATTTTTTACATATGCTTCAAAGGGTCGTCCGCCATTACTGCTTCTCCCCCTATATTAACTGGTTGCAATGTAAAAAAAAATTGAATAGTAGAAGTCCACCACTAAAGGTCATTCAAAGTTTTACTTTAGAAAATAGAATTTCTTGTAATTCTTAATTGTTTGGATTGGATGTTGTTCCAATTGATTGAAAATATCAAAAGGATTTCAAAGTTTAAATTTGAAGTGATTTGGAGTAGATTTGAGCAAGATTTGAGTTAAATTCAGAAAAAACGCAAGGAATAAGACGAAGTCCATTTTTGTATAATCTTGTATAATAATGTATATGAGTGTATAAACACATCTTATACACTATTATAACTTTTTATACACCTTTATACAAACAACTATAGACGAACTTTTTCGACGATTTTCAGTTGCAATTCTTGTTCAAAACCGGTCCAAATCTCCATTAAATGACTTCAAATTTTATATACAACCTCCTTATACTATTTCTAACAAGTCTAAATAACACTCACTCCAAAATTCTCACAAAATCAAATTCAGAATTTAAACCCACATATTTAAACTTGTTAAAAATCCAATTTTCACCACCCAAATGGATTTGGTTTGTTAAACTAATATTTGAGTCACAACTATTGATTCGAAAATTAACTTAAAAGCTTGAGCAATCTCTTTTAAAAATTAAATGATAATTTTGAGAACCTATTGGAATTGAATGTTGAGTCTTAGCTTATTATTTTTGGCCTAATTAATTGTAAATTGAAATATAGGTTATAAAATTACAAAAATGGGGAGCCCAATTAGGCACGCTCACATGCACAGTGTGCGCAAATACACCACTTTTGAACATGTGAGAAAATAATCTTTTCATTTTTCATTTTTTTTCTTCCTCTCCAACGCCACCATCTCCACCGTACCACCCCCTTTGCCACGGGAAAGTTGACGGCCGATCATCTTGCTCTTAGAGTTACCATCGAACAATGATGGCGAAAGAGCCTGATCTCCTCCTAGATCTTCATCTTCAAACCCACGGTCCAGTCCTGAATGATGGCGGGTCTGAATAGTGGGTTGTCTGAGGATAGGTGGGTTTGAATAATGGCTATTTCAGTTGGCAAGTTTAGGGAACCGCCTATGTATTCAGCCTTTAGAGAACGTATATTTAGGGCTCGGATTCAAAATTTAAAATTAATGAGTTCCGGTGAAGCCAGTCTTTATACTCTGGATCCGATCCGCCGGTAGGGTATGAGTATCGTTTCCAGTGATTAACAAGAGAGCGGAAAACAGATAGCCAAGACACTTAATCCACTCTGTGAATTTTGTGGTGTTCACACCTAGTAAATTTTCTTGTTATTTCACTGTGTCAACTATTTTCTTTGGGTTCTAGGTACCGAGTAGTGACTAATCCGAGCCCCCTCATCCTGAACCATGTTAGACATTAGCAGATTATACAAGTTAACACAAGTAGGGCTTAGGAGATCAAAATCAAACATAAACCGGTCCATTCCTAAACCGTATAAGTAGTACTAGTAGACATGTCTCTGTCTGACCTTGAAGGAGAATACAAAAAAGGCTTAGGAGGCATTTGCAATGATCCGACTTCACCTTGTAACATCTCTATAACCATACTGATCGATGGTCGGCTGGCCGGAACGGTTTGGATACACCACAGGCTTACCAGTATCATCTTTTCTGCAAGTTTGTTGTCCTCCTCCTTCGCAATGTCAGTTAATCCAAGCTCTTCCTTTTGTTCAATTTTTCTGTAAATCCAGTGTGGAAAGTATATTTCACTTGTACGATCAACAGCAACATCAACATTTTTCCTTCCTCCAACCATCTCGAGGACCATCATACCGTAGCTGTACACATCTGACTTGTGAGAAACTCCTCCAATGTTTTTACACACAATTTCTGGCGCGATGTATCCAATAGTCCCTCTTGCCCCCAATAAAGATACAATGCTTTCCTTCTTGTTACATAGTTTTGCAAGGCCAAATTCAGAAATTTTTGGACAAAAGTCTTCATCCAGAAGAATGTTGTGAGGCTTTATATCGAAGTGCAGGATTGGAGTATTGCAACCGCGATGCAAATACTCCAATCCTCTAGCAATGCCAAGTGTAATATTGTATAATGTTTGCCATCCTAGTTGACGATTCGTCCCTGATTTTGCGTCGTAAATGAACTTCTCAAGGGATCCATTGGGCATGAAATCATAGATTAGAGCTTTGTTTTGACCCTCAAAACAAAATCCCACAAGTGATACAATATTAATGTGAGAAGTCCTGCTGATACTTGCCACCTCGTTGATAAACTCTTCTCCCCCGCCCTTCGATTCCTTCAAAACCTTGACTGCCACAAGAGTACCGTTATGCAACTTTCCCTTGTACACACAACCATAGCCTCCTTGACCAAGTTTATTTTTGAAATACTCGGTCATCTTTTTGACTTCAGGATAACTGTAATTTCTTGGAGCAAGTGATCCACAGTTCTTAAGGAAGTCCTTTACATTTCTGTAATCCTCTCCTTTTTTCTTCCAGAAAATCATGGAATTAAGGGAGCATTTTGTTTGTAAGTACAGGAGTAGGATAACCAGAATTACGACTCCACCAATAGAAGAAGCTGTGGCTGTCAAGACACCAATTGAACGATTGTTACCAATTTTGCATCTTTGGTAAATTAGAAAATATTTAGCACAGATTTATCAGTACTCTTTGTCTGTGTTTGCGTGTTTTAATGCACCAGTAGCACATTAGGACTTGAGAAAAAAATAACTACTACTTATATTTTGCTACGAACAAAGAACTGACATTTCATCACTTGACTAGACAGCTGTAAAGAGTGAGCTAACTCAAAAAGATCAGACCAATAACTGCAGGTAACAAGGAAGAAAACACCAGAGCAAATAGATCAGATCTTGATTAATGGCTATGTAAAAAGTGGAAAGAGTTTGATGACTTCTCTCAATGGTTAGGCATAGTAAAATAAAGGAGCCTATGGATTTGAAGAAGTTAACATGTAAGTATAGTGAGAATATCTAGTGATACAACTAACATACGCAGTATATTCCCACAATGTGGGGTCCGATGAGGGTAATGTGTACGCAGACCTTACCAGTTACTCCTACCTTGTAGAGGTAGAGAGGCTGCTTCCTATAGAACCTCGGCTCAAGATGAGAACATCTAGTGATAGGAAATAAATATTTGTAGCTATAGATTTACCTGCAGCTAGAATTCGTTTTGACTTTCTCTTCACTGCAGCCAAAGTAAATCAAGAAAGGTTAGATAGATGTTGCGCGAGGAGGAGAGGAAGATAAAGTGAAGTTAGTGCATAACAAGAGTAAAAGAGGATAACTTAAACATTCTGCAGGACACAGACATCGGTTAGATTGTTAACTTGGTGATGGAGTAGTAAAAATTGATGATTATATAGGTGCCTTCTGCAACTACTTTGTATCTGCTCTGAGCGAACAGAAAAATCACTTGATGAGCAAAAATGAACTATTGAAAAATGAAAGAGCTACAGCGGTAACTCCTGCTGACATAAAAAACGCTACGAGTGTATTTTAACCTGCTGTATCATGTCACTTGCTTTGTTTTAGGTCATTTATCTCACTAATTATGCTCTTTTAAATGACCTAATAGCATATAAGTTCTTTTCAGATATAGAAGTTAAACCTTTGTAAAATACCATGTCCGCAGTAATACGTGGAAAAAGCAGAGTATTTGACATATATTTATGGCTCAGTAGTTACAATCATTCTTTCCTTTAGCATGCCTTCACAAGTTCTTTCTTCTTTTAAGATGGCTGACCCCAAAGCCAACCATGCAAATTGCAACGATGAAGCCAATCATTACAGTTAAAAGTTAAAACTGAATGGCAAATGGAAGGCAATAGGGTACCAGAAAATGGAGAAATTCAAAATGCAGGTTTTGAATTCCAACGTGAGAAGCAATTATTATGTCTGAAATTTTTGATGAATCAGTTACGGTTATGCGCTTTCTAACTGGAATTGTGATCAGCAGCAAAATATGACAGAATATAACTGGAATACTGGACCCATGAGTAGGTGATGACAAGAACATCTCAAACATCTTTCAACGTAAGAAAGAATGGTCAAGAAAATAGACTTCACTTTGGAAGTAAAATTTTTTACCTTTGGGATTGGAGGAACAAAGAAAATTGTTGTTGCTGTCAGTTAAACATCGACCTCCTTGATTGTAACACTTACTACAATCATCAGAGAGGCTCCACTGAATTGTAAAATTCGCGGTTAAGAGATCAAACAAGCTACTATTTTGAGTTAACTGTTGTGACCTCCATTTGATTGGCAATTGAATAAGTGAACAGTTATTAGGAATATCTCCCTCTGGTGCATCCGAGTAGCCTTCCCTCCATGTTGTCGGATACTTGTAGTAAATGCTGAAGCCACTACATTCAGTGTAGTTCTTATAGTCACGAAAATAGTGATCATTCGTGCCCCTATTGATGTCTAGACTGTTGTTGCATCTGAACAAGGTAAGATTGCCCACTATTATGTCCATTTGACTAGCCATATAAGACTTTTCAAACTAAGTCATTTTCTTCAATTTCACCAATATATACAGGTCATTAATAACGACATTTCAAGAAAACATGTGCTTAGTTTGAAATGTTAAGGAAAAAAATCTGGCTTTGCATCTTATTTTCTTGTAATTATATTGATTCAACGTGAAGGAGCCTTTGACCAGCGATAAAGTTGTCTCCGTGTTACTTATAGGTCACGGGTTCGAGCCGTGAAACCAGTCATTAATGCTTGCATTAGGTTAGGCTATCTATATCACACCGCTAGCAGGGGCGAAGCTATGTTGGCCCAAGGGTGGCCAACTGAATACCCTTCACTGAAAAATTATACTACGTATAAGGTAAAAATATTACTTGTTATTAATTAAAAAATAGACTTTGAACACCCTTGCATAGTCCACTGGCTTCGCCACTAACCGCTAGAAGTGCAACTCTTCCCCGGACCCTGCATGTAGGATGCTTTGTACCCCGGGCTGCCCTTTTATTTTATTTTATATATTGATCCAACGTGGGAGAAAAGTGGAAAAAAAGAAGCATACGGACAAATAAAACTTGTATATAGGTTGTCCTTATTCTAAATGAAGTCTCTCTTGCCATCATTTTTCGCAGTATTAGTAGATAAATGGAATCAATTTTGAGTTCGTCTTCTTTCTTGAAGTCATCAAATTGAAATACAGACATTACAGCTAGTTGGAAATTAACAAGGGAAAGTTAAGGAAAAAAAATTATAAAATCAAACTATAAACCTATAAAGGAGGGATGCTATCATGTATAGTTTACCTTGACATTTTCAGTCATCTATGAAGACTTAGAATCCAAAGTCTGACTCCTTTTTCAACCAATTGAACAGAATAAAGGGTAAAGAAGGCACAAATATTTTTTATAAAATAAACCTTATCAAACAGAAAAGTTGTTTGTCTCTCCAAATTAGTGTCATTTTTTGGAACCAAAGGCGTATAGATCTTAATTAAATTGGAACCCCAAATTCTAGTGATATGAGTAGTAGTCATTCACACAAGAGGTTTGAGCTCAATTTTTACTGTTCTCCTGTTTAATAAAAATAATTATAAAAAAATGCAATTCTAGTTATGTTGTGTCTATTTATTAATTGTGGGGAAACCAAGTTGGAAAAGCAGTGTAAAGATATACTAAGGGAAATTTTCGTTCCTATACCATATAGGAAACTATATTACCTATGTTCATAGTTTGCATATTACCCTTCATGCTAATAATATTTCTACATAATATAGACAATGCATTAAATAAGAAATCACTGTAGCTGTAGGCTTCCTTATTTAGGCGCGCTAAAATTGGGGGATTAAATATTCTTCCAGATCTTTCACAATGCAAATCACGCACATTAATCTTCTTTGTCAGTTTCGTTTCAAATTTAGCATCTCTGCTTTTTCGATACACTGTTTTTCACACTTTTTTCTGATTTCACAAATCAAAAACGACTAAATCTTCTACAATTCTTCTACATCAAACGCAATTATGTCCAAATTTCAATAATACAAAGCAAAGGAAAAGAGAGTAGCAATTCCACCATTGACAGTCATTAAAAGGCTTTGAATTCAAATTTGGGTTTTCAAAAATCATTATTTGTTTGGATTGGGTGTTGTTGCAAATAATTGGGAATATGGTTTGGAGTTTATATCTCAATTTTGAGAGGTTTTGGTGAATATTAGACTTGGTTTTGACTGAATTTCGAATTGAAACTCGAAGAAGAAGAAGAAGAAGAAGAAGAAGAAGAAGAAGAAGAAGAAGAAGAAGAAGAAGAAGAAGAAGAAGAAGAAGAAGAAGAAGAAGTGACATACATTATATTGTAGAAATTGTAGAAAAATTGTAGATAAATTTTAGAAAAATTGTATTTTGTTGTTTATTTATTTTTCTTTTATTCATTTAATTATTGTATGAAAGTTGAACAATATTGTATAAAAATTATATTTAAGTGGTATTATATTGTAGTTGTATATAACTTAGTGGAAATAATGTACGAAAATTGTAGATAAGTTGTATAATATATAATTAGTTGTATGAAAATTATTTTTACTATGTATAAATCAGACACAAAATATACCAAAGACATATTGTATAAATTTTGTATAAAATTTGTATGTAAGTTTTATGTTATTGTAGTTGTATTTCACTGGGTGAAAATAATGTGTGAAAGTTGTAGAAAATTGTAGATAAGTTGTATTCCTCTATAACGGGAAATGTTGGCATATCGAGTAACTTTAGTATTGCAGACGAACATGCATGAAAATAAAGATAAATTCTGTTATGAACAGTTTGTAGATAATTTGTAAAAACATTGAAATTCTGTATTTTCATATTAATTTTTCAAATGATATGTTGTTTTATTGTAGAATAAATGTAGAAAACAAGCCATTGTGAGTCTTATTTGACTCATTCCTCACATTCAACCTATTCTACAAATTCACGCCTCTTTAAATACAATACGACCATACTTTCTTGAATTTAAAGGTATAGCAATATATATAACTTAAAATAACATCTTCTCCTCTGCACAAGTTAGCTCCAAAACAGACGAAGTGGAATAACAAGCTCCCCTCAAAACTTTTAACACAAAAATACAAAGCTCAAATTTTATGTTATTGTAGTTATATTTAACTAGGTGGAAATAATATGTGAAAGTTATAGAAAATTATAGATAAGTTATATTCCTCTATAACGGGAGATGTTGGCATATCAAATAACTTTAGTGTTACAGACGAACATGCATGAAAATAAAGATATATTCTGTTATGAACAGTTTGTAGAAATTTTGTAGATAATTTGTAGAAACATTGAAATTCTGTATTTTCATATTAATTTTTCAAATGATATGTAGTTTTGTTGTAGATTAAATGTAGAACATAAGCCATAGTGAGTCTTATTTGACTCATTACCCACATTCAACCTATTCTACAAATTCACGCCTCTTTAAATACAATACAACCATACTTTCTTGAATTTAAAGGTATAGTAATATCTATAACTTAAAAAACATCTTCTCCTCTACACAAGTTAGCTCCAAAACAGACGAAGTGGAATAACAAGCTCCCATCAAAACTTTTAACACAAAAACACAAAAGCTCAAAAATAAATAAACAACAGTCTACAATTTTTCTACAATTGCTACAATATAATGTATGTCATGTCATCGTCTTCTTCTTCTTCTTCTTCTTCTTCTTCTTCTTCTTCTTCTTCTTCTTCTTCTCCTTCTTCGAGTTTCAATCTGAAATTCAGCCAAAACCAAGTCTAATCTTCACCAAAACCCCTCAAAATTGAGATATAAACTTCAAACCATATTCCCAATTATTTACAACAATACCCATTCCAAACAAATAATGATTCTTGAAAATCCAAATTTGAATTCAAAGTTTCAAAGCTTTTTAATGGCTGTCAATGGTGGAATTACTGCTCTCTTTTCCTTTCCTCTTATATTACTGAAGGAACCCGAAATCATAACCATCAAATCGACCAGGCTTGTGCTAATCTTCCCCGGGCACAAAAACATTGGGAGAAGATTGCAGAGGTGCCGATAGTGCCTTGGCTATGGAAGAAATAATGGGATATTGATACAGAAATCATGGGTGTGGGAGGGAAACGTGGGTGAAGATGTGGGAATTGGAGAGAGAAACGTGGGGGGAGTGGTATTAGAAGGAATATACGGTACCATTAAATTATGAGTGTAATTAATACCCTTAAAAACCACTAATGGTATATAAATGATAATTAGGTATACTAAATATAATTATATCAAACTTTAAACATTGAGGGTAATATAGTTTCCTATATGACATAGGAATGTAAAAATTTCTACTAACAAAGGCCGAAAGTTCTTTGGTCTTTATCCCTTAGGAAGGCCACTAGAATCCATAGTATCAGCAGACTGCTAGTCGCTTTTAGCCTAAATTTTAAAGAGAGAGTAATGTGATACACAATTTTTAAGGGGTAGAGCTAGAGTTAGCCAAGTAGTTTTTGCTCAAAAATACAAAAAATGAGGCGATACAACAAACATATACATTGTATTTACTATTCGTAGCTATACTTTTAAAAAATTATTATTCGTAGTTATAATTGAATTTATAGCAAATCCACATGTAGTACTGAAATAAGAGATCAATTGTTTTGACATGAAATAATAGCTCAGTTGGTTAGACCACCCTCTTAGTGAGTGGAGGTTTTGACTTCGACTCTCAACGAGAACATGTTAGTTTTCGGTATTTCTGTATTTCACTTTGATTATATTATTCGTTGCACGAACGAATATAGTCAATACGAATACAGTATATACACTCATGTATTTTGCTTTGGTTATATTCGTTGCATGAACGAATACAAATGTATACACTCCTGTATTTCACCTTGGTGGTATTCGTTATACGAACGAATACAATTGATATAGGTTGTATTTTTTACGTGAACGACGTAAACAAATACAGTTAATATAGGCTATATTCGTTACGTATTGGTAATTAGGTTCTAAACTGTAGTGTTTTGTGAAAATTACCATAATTCTTTTGTTACCTTGGCCCAATAGGTTGAGCCCGAAACGACTCACCAAATTATCAGGTAAAGCGGGTCATTCAAAATGCCACCAAAGCCCAAATGCATAAATCAAATGTGGAGATTGGGGATTATGTAAATAGAAGAACTTAAGCTAAGAACCTAAAAAAAGTATATTTTCACATTTAAAAAAAAAGTAAAATAAAAAAGGAAGAGACAGTGGGCAAGTTGATTAATACCCGTCATTCGATCATCTTAATACAAGCAAATTTTGAGCTGGTTGAGTCCTGACTATTTATTGATTTGACCCGTTTTCCACCTCCGGGAGAAACCAGTCTCTATGTCTTGCAAGTAGGGTTAAAGATGAGAAATAGTGAAACGTGAAATATATGGATAATGCATAGGTTAAAGAAACATTTAATTCATACTCCCTCTGTTTCTGAACCTATTTCCTTTTTGTTCCGTTTAAAAAAGAATG